GTTTGGGCCTGACCCCCCTCCGGGACCCGAGCTCCGGCACGGCGGAGAGCGGGGCGGTCGCCGCAACGCGGCTCTGGGGGAAATCGCGGCGGGACGCGCCGGGCGCCGAGACCCGCGGGTGGCGCCGCCGCGGGACCAGCCGCAGCTCGGGACACTCGCGGTCACCGAGCACGAATAAACCTGCCCGAGCTCGACCCGGGCGGGGGTCTCACCGCTCCAGCGTGTCAGGCGGCGAAAACGGAACCTGCGACACCGGGGGCTGGGGGGGCGCACAGGCCTGACCTTGCCGGGGAGCCTGCTGCACACCCAGGGCTGGGCTGTGGGGGGCTTGGGGGGGTATTGGGGCCTGTGAGGGGTTGGGCGCTATAGGGGCTGTTTGAGGGTTGTTGGGGGCTGGGCACTAAACATGTCCCCCCAGCAAGAGTGTCCACAGCAAAGGTGTGACACGCTCTTGCTCTTGCTCAGGCTGGTTTTGAACTCCTGACCTCGAGCAATCCTCCCGCCTCGGCCTCCCAGAGTGCTAGGATGACAGGCGTGAGCCGCCGCAGCTGGCGGATTTTGTAGTATTTTCTATGGAGAGAACAGACAATTAATTTCCCCCTCCCACTGACCACACTGAGCTAAACTTACTCCTCCTGGCGGACGCTGCCCAGACACGGGAGCTCACGCTGTGTTCACCCGCGGCTGTGACAACCCTCCAGGCCTGTGGCCCAGACCAGAGCGGCCGATAGGCTGAACTCAACGTGATTCCTGTAAGAAAGGGAAGCGGACGACTGTCCACTTGTGCCCGCACCTCGCTGTGTTCTCAGCCCACAGCCATGTCCTGGCTCTGGGAGGCCGGGCTGCCCTCCTTCTGCCCCGGAGGAGAAGTCCTGTCCTGGCTGGCTTTTGCCCCCTGGGTGCAGAATGCCAAGATCCCTCCTAATCCCCGATGTTCGGAGGCAAACTGGCCAGAATCGGAGCTGCCCGGAACCGTGGGTGCCCCGCGGGGCGACCCGCAGCCGGTCTGCCGGGAGGGCGGGCGGGCTCGGGCCACTCTGGGAGCCCCGGCTGCCCGGGCCGGACCCAGCAAAGGGGACCAGAAGCCACTGGCAGAGACTAGGGCTCGAGTGCGCACGTGAACTTGGCCTCTGACCCTGAGCGTCCACTCCCGGGACGCACCTGCAGCAGGTGCCCCACAAACGCCGCGGACCCGCGTCCACAGCGCAGGTCCACCACCCCCAGCGTGGCGTTGGGCGCGGGGGGCCACGCCCCGCGGAGCACGGTTCAGCCACGGGAGCCCGCGCGGGTGGCCCGGACGGCCGCTGCGTGAGGACGCAGGCCACGCAGGCGCCACGGAAATGCGCGAGGGGCGTGGCCACGGGGTCGCGCACCTGCGTGCTGGGAGCTGGGATTCTGTCTTGCAGCCCAAGGGCCGTTCCAGGCCTGGAGACGCGGCAGGGTTGGGGGCAAACCCTGGACATGCCTGGGTTTCTGTCCTTGCCCCGGGGCCGGCCAGCGCCACACACTTGGGAATCGCTCGCTCCCGGCCCAGGGTCGGCCCCCAGGGCTCTCACACCCGCCCGCGCTGCCCTGCGTGGCCACAGGAGCCTCCTGATGTCACTGAGCTGAGCACAGGGCCCCGCGCTTCCAGGCCGTCCCTGATGCCACGCGTGTCCCCGGGGGAAGGGGGGAGGAGGCACGAGGGCGCCCTGCAGGCAACAGGGGGTTCCCAGGGGTGCGCGCTTGGGGACAGGCAGGGGCGTGTGTGGAGAGAGGGGGGCTGAGCCCCGCGGGGTCGGCCTGGAGCTGGAGGGTTTGGGCCGAGCCTGGGTTTTTGGTGCCCACGTGGAGTCAGAATCAGAGACATAGCTGTGAGCTCAGCAGACAGACACCCCCCTCCTGACCCCCACCCCGCCCGGAACCTCTTGTGGGCCCAGGGGACACAGGGTCAGCGTGCACCTGGGGTCAGACGCCTGCATGGCAAATGCCTCTTTTTTCCCCCCCTTTTATTTGAGACAGAGTCTTGCTGTGTTGCCCGGGCTAGAGTGAGTGCCGTGGCGTCAGTCTAGCTCACAGCAACCTCCAACTCCTGGGCTCAAGCGATCCTCCTGCCTCAGCCTCCCGAGTAGCTGGGACTACAGGCATGCACCACCATGCCCGGCTAATTTTTTCTATATATATTAGTTGGCCAATTAATTTCTTTCTATTTATGGTAGAGACGGGGGTCTCACTCTTGCTCAGGCTGGTCTGGAACTCCTTGCCTCCAGCAATCCACCCACCTCGGCCTCCCAGAGTGCTAGGATCACAGGCATGAGCCACCGCGCCCCCTCTACGCTTAGGTGTGTTTAGACACACAAATACTCACAGTTGTTGGCCTTCACCTGCAGGGCTCCGTGCAGTCACCTGCACCACACAGCCCAGGTGTGCAGTGGGTCCTGCTGTGGAGCACGGAGAGATGACGACACCCTGTGACGTCCCCACAAACACGGAATTGCTCCTCGATGCATTTCCTGAGCGCGGGAGGAGCAGCCCAGCTGGGCACCCGGGCGGGGCCAGGCCGGGGCCCCAGGAAGCAAACCCTCATGCCCGAGCCCCACTCGGCGCCAGACTGGCCCCGGGACTCTGAGCTGGTGGGGCACCCCCACCTGCCGTGGGACTCGGGGCTCACAAGGCCTCCCGAGGGTCCCGGGCGCTGCGGGCCTGGGCGGCGGGTGGGCCTGCCCCGCCCCTTCCCATCGTCCTCTGCTCCACCTCCTGGCTCCCCGAGCTTCCGCTCACCTGACTCTGGGGTGCTCGGGCACGGTGGGGGGCAAGGCCAGCCCTGCAGGGTGCCCATGGGGCTGGCTCCCTCCTGCACAGAGAAGGTAGAGGCTCCGTGCAGAAAGGAGGCCCCGGCGGGGTGCTGGGTGGCACCAGAGCCCGAGGGCACCACGGAGCTGTCTGGGTGGAGGCCAGGCCCGCGGGACGCCAGGACTGCAGAGCCCGTGGCCTGCGCGGGGCTTCACTTCCAGGGCAGTGCTGCCCGGTGGGGCAGCCCCAGGGGCCGGGCAGCCCCAGGGGCCAGGCGCCCTGCCTCGCTGGAGGGAGGGAGGAACCGGGGCGCTCAAGCTGTCAGCCTGGGCCTGCCCCGAGGCCAGAGGCCACACAGAACACGCGACCACGGTTTCATCCAGAATCACGGCTGTATTTACCTTCACCGACAGACACCAGAACAGAATACTTAAAGTAAGCAGAGGCCGCCCTGGGAAAGGGCTGGGAACAGAACGGCTGTGGGCGGCTGAACCGAGCAGGCTCGGAAGCCAGGAAGAGACAGACGGGACGTCGGGAAACCTGCCGGCAGCCCACGGCGACGCTGGCTCGTGGGACAGACCCGGCCAGAGCAGCAGCCGCCGCGCTGCAGGTGCACGCTCAGGGGGACAAACGTCTGACCGCCTTCACACGGGAGAGAAAATGTACAAAAGTTATTTATTTTTTTGTAATCAAACTTTAGACTCTTGCGCTTCTAAAACTCTACTTGTCTGGCAGACAGATCCCGAGAACACCGCAGGACGAGCACGAGGGTCCACAGAGTTGTCCTTGCGGCCAGAGCCAGCCAGTCCTGAAGCCCGCCACGAGCCTCATGCAGGAGAGTGCCCTGGGAGCGCCGCTCTCCCTCCCGAGGGCCCAGCCCCTCGCGGGCGGCTGCAGGGCCGGGAAGTTGCTCACGGAGAGGGGTCCGCGGATGGCCGAGTCCGCCTGGGGGCGCTTGCATAGTTGAAGGGTAGTTGCGAGTGGGCGTTTTGTGACCGTGTTAAACAACCAACCAGAGGAGTTTCTGGAAACCACTTTTATAAAGTCTACCGGGGGTAAGAATTCCATAATGTCATACATTTATATCAACAGACTATGTACACGGTGCCTTTGCTGTTTTTTTTTTAAAAAAAAACAAACCAAAAAAGAAATTCTTACACTTCTGCATAATAAGGCAAAAAACAAAGTTTTGTACATTATTATTAATTATCATTTTAATATATATCTGTAAGTTCGGTTCCAAGTACCAAGGGGAGGGCCAGGGCAGGGCCTGGGTGGGGGGCCTCACAGTGCGCTGGACAAAGTGACCGTTTTTTCTCCATGAACGAGACAAAGGAACCCTGGGGCTCCGGAGAGGGGTCGGGGCTGTGACCTTACGAACCCCAACAAAAAATCAAGAAGCAAAAAAGTTTCTTTTTTGGTTCTTTTAAGTGTCTAAAGAGCACAAAATTAAGAAAAATACAAATCCATTAAAAACGCTTCTCACTTGTGGGGGAAAAAAGGTACAAACTTGGAAATTTTTTTCCCAATAGCCTAATCTCAAGCTCAGAAAACAAAAAGGCCACCCCCAGAAAAGCTGTTTATTAAATTCCCCGACCCCGCAGACGTCGCGTGGAAAAGCGTGTCACCCCAGGATTCGACGGAGCTGTGCTTAAGATCTAGAAACGTTTTAGAAAAGTTTACAGCAGTGCATTTGTGTGGGTCTGTCCGCGGGCGCCGCGCCGGACTACCGCGCCTCCACCTCCTGCGGGTTGCGGGACGGGGAGTAGGCGCGCGCGTCGCCGGGCCCGAGGCCCTCGAGCGGGGTAGTCCTGCTCCGCGGCGTGGGGGGCCCGGCCACCAGCGGGGGCGGCGCGCCGTGCGCTGGCGGCGGCCGGCGCGGTGTCCGCGCCAGCAGTCCCGAGGCGCGGCAGGTGCGCGGCGCTGTCCGGGCCCGGGCCCGTGCGCGGCTCCAGGTCCTCGCGGCGCGGCGCGCGGGGCGCTCGGGCTGTATCGTGCGGCTCGCTTTGTCTTGTTGTTTATGTCTGCGCCGTGTTGTTGTTGGCTCGAAGAGGGCGCCGAGGGGCCCTGCCTTTGGGGTATATTGTTGGTCCTTGTGTCGTCGTGTTCTGTTCATAATGGGTCTCCTGTTTTGTCCTTTTGTGGTAGGCCTCGGCGCAGCTTTGTTTCTCCCATGATTGTTCTTCCTGTCTGCGCCTTCCCCCCAGTCGCTTAGCGGCCAAGGTTGTCGGTTGCGGCGCGGTATGTTGTGTTGTTCGCTATGGGGGCTCGGCCGTCTTTCTCTGTGCTCGGTCTCGTATCTCCGTCGCCTGTTGTGTGGTTCGGGCCTGCCCCCGGTGTGTTTTTCCCCGGCCGCGCTCACGGGCCAATGTTGTGTTTTTTTCGGCCAGGCGCAGGGCCTTTCGCCCTTTGTGGACCGTCCTTTGTCTGTGGGCGAAGGCGGCGGCTCTCTCTCTGTCTTTCGTCTCAGTTCTTTAATGCGCGTCCCCTGGTTTCCTCCTGCGATGTCAGCTCTCCTTGACGCGGGGCTCAGCCTCGCGCTCCGCGGGGACCCCGGGCCGGCCCAGCTCGCCCTGGCCGCGGAGCAGGAGGCTGCTGACGGCGTGGCCCACGGGGGCGGCGGGCGATGCGCGGCTGAGCAGGCGCGTCTTCTCCAGCAGGTCCCTGGGGGCGACAGGGCAGGCGTGGTCAGAGGCTCTGAGGGGGCTCTTCCAGCCCCAGCCCTAGAAGGCCGTGTTCTCACCATCTGCGGGGGCCCACGCTCCCTGGTGTGTGTGTAGGGGTCCCTTCACCACCCGAGTCCCTGCAGATGCCAGTAGCGCCCCTGTCAACACACTGGTGGTGACAACAGACCCCCCTTCCCGTCTCCAGACACCCCGATGCTCCTCTCCCCTTGGCAAACAGCCTACAAGCACCTGGAGCCCAGCCACGGAGCTCTGCGGCAGCAAGGGGGCTCCAGTCCTCCAGTGGGACGGGAGGGGGCTGGCAGGGAGGTGCCGGCTGCCCCAGCCCTGGAGCTCCTGCCTCCAACTCTGGTTCCAGCCCCACGTGTGGAGGCCTGACCTCCACCCAACCCAACCGTGGTGTCCTTAGCCAGGGCGTTGTCAGGAAGGCTGGGGCCACCTGGGGCGGACGAGGGGGTCTGGGCCCACATCTGCAGGAGGCCTCGGCCGCCCCCCTCTCTGGGGCACGCGCTCTGCGTCTGCTGACCCCCCCTTTGGAAACTCAGTGTGAGGCCAGGGCGAAAAGTCCCTATCACTCCCCGGGGCACCCCCAGGCAGTGGCCACCCCCCGTGTGCACCCCCAGGGGGTGCAGTGGCAGCACGTGGCTGTGCTCACCAGGCCTCTCCTGGCCCCGTCTCCATGGGGGGCCCACCTTCCCAGCCCCCAGGCCTCTGCTCCCAGCAGGGCAGGGTGGGGTGTGCAGGGTGGGGCAGGGGAAGGCTGGGGCTCCACTCACCGCTCACGCTCCTCCCGGCCCTTGTCTGGCTCTCGGTCGTGGTTGGTCAGGGCTGAGACCCGCTCTGCGTCCACGGACTTGGGCCACGGGGGCGGCGTGGGGAAGGAGGGCGGCGCCCGGTGCAGCCGGCTCCAGGTCTCGTGGGGGCTGGGCAGGCCGTGCACCGAGGAGCCCTCCTTGGGGGCAAAGATGCCACCGGCACCAGGAGCTGGGGCAGGACCCAGGGAGGTGAGGCCAGGCCGGCCGTGTGGACCCTGCCGCCTGCGCCCCAGAGGAGCCCTCGGGGTGCAGGGGGCCCGCCGTCCACCAGGTCCCGAGTGGGCACTGCAGGGGAGCGGTGAGTGTGCCCAGCCGGGGAGGCGGCACCTGTGCGCGTCACTTACTCAGAGTGTGGCTGCCCAGGCCCCCGAAGGCGTGGCTCCCCAAGCTCCCCAGGCCCCCGAAGCTGCTCGACCTGCTGAAAGGGTCTGCGGGCAACCAGGGGTCAGGGGTCAGCCGGGACTCTCACCTGACTCCCCAGCCCATGGGGGGGCCCGATGTGACCCCAGGGGTGCACTGGGGCTCAGGGTTACCCTCCTGCCTGCTGACAGCCCCCAACCACACCACCCCACGCCGGGCACCCACCTGCCAGGTGACCGGTGGGCAGGAAGCTGCCAGGGGGAGCCGAGGGTCCGAAGGGGTTGGTGGCGGGATGGGCGGCACCTGCAGGGGAGCCAAGTTGACCGAGGCCCGGACAGGACGCCCGGCTCCCCCTGCCTCGTGGCCCACGTGGACGCCCGGGCTCCCTCTGCAGTGTGGCTCATGGGGGGCCCCCCAGTTTCCTGAGGGAACCTCTGCTGCCTGTTTCCCAGAACAGCCTGACCATAGGGCAAAGGTGCCTCTGGTCAGGGGGAGGTGGGACTTCCTCTCCTCCCAGCACCTGGAGGAGGAGGCTGGCGCAGCAGGGAGGGAGGTGCAGGGGGTGCCCCGGCTTGGCCTGGACACGGAGGAGGCATCCCCAGGGGAGTGGCCTTGGTTGGCTGTTCCCAAAGCCAGTCACCCTGGAGAGCTGCTGAGTGACCCTGCCACTCAGGACAGGGCTGGCAGCCGCGGGTTTGTCCGGGGCACTGAGCGCGGCAGCCGCTGGGTGTCCCTGGGCACAGGGCGGCCCACAGGCGCCCGTCAGCACTGCCCCGGCTCCCCCAGCAACACCCCCAGCCCATGTGGACCCCATGTCGGCCCTGCACCTGGCGGGCGTCCTTCATTCCAGAGGGTGGGTTTCCGGTAAGACCAGCTTGGCTGCTCCAGGTCCCTCCTGGCCCTGATCCTGGGGACGCCCGCCTGCCGCTCCCCACACCTCGAGGGCAGGGCCTGCTCAGGGCTCCTCTCGGGGAGTCGACACCCACGTCCACCCTGGAGACCATGTGCAGCTGCTGCGCTATGGCTAACGCCCCCCCAGGCACGTGGGGAGCGGCGGGGACCGGCTGCCTTAGGCCCGGGAAGCTGCGGAGTTAATGTCTGAAACCTCCAGCTCTCGCCAGGGAAGGGCAGCAGGCGGGCGAGCACAGGCGGGTGGGGGGGACAGGGGATGGGGGACACCAGGCCACAGCTGCTCCTTTCCAGATGCTGGGGACACAGAGGCACCTCTGGCACAGCGAGCGAGCCACGGGGAAAGGACGGCGGGGCAGAGACTGGGGCAGCTCCACGCGTGGACAGGGGCGGAGACCTGACCCCCTGCCCGACTCCCGGCCAGAAACATTCAAACGGCCAAACGGGCCCAAGAAGAGACAGAAGCTTGACGAGTCCTCCACCAACAACGGAAGAGCCAGCGGCTCAGACCACAGGCCAGGGAGCCCGACCTCACAGGAGCTCCTCAGAGAACGGGAAAAGGGGAAAAGCCCTAACTCTCGGGGCAGAGAGGGGCCAGACGGCCTTCACGGCAAGACCGACAGCGCGGCCAGGGAGACCCAAGGCCAGTCGCTGGGGAGGACACGCCTGGAGCAGATGTTGGCAGTGTGACTCCAGAGACATTCCCTCGGTTCACAGGTCGAGGGGAATCATCCTGTTCCTAATAAGGAAGCGGAACTATCGCTTGCAGAGGTGGCTTTCCACACAAAAGATGTGGAAGGAATCTACGCGTGAATTTCTTCGCATTTGTAAGAATTAGGCAAGACTGCTGGACGCAAAGCCAAGTCACCCACAAATCCTGCTTTTTAGCAGCAGCCGGCTAAGAAATGCAATTTTGGAAATGCCGATCCTGACATCAGTGAAACATACAGCAGCTGGGGGCGACTCTGCTCAGGCCTGACCGAGTGGGAGCCACGCCTGCTCACAGGCAGGAAAGGGGGTGTGTGTGTGTGACCTCTCACCCCGTGGGGAAAGCACCGGCGCCTGGTGGGACAGGCAGATGCAAAGTTTGTGTGGAGCTGAGGACGGCGAGGAACGGCGGGCGGGGCGGGAGCCTGGACGGGGAGCCCGGCCGCTGGAAACCTGGGTCACTGGAGACCCCGAGGCTGGGGACCCTCAGGGCACCGTGGCAGGGCTGGGGGACCCTGCTGGCCAGCGAGGACAGCCCTGCGCTGACCGGGACACGCGTGCCTGGCCCTCACAGACGCCGCGTGCAGAGCAGTCCGGCGCTGAGCACACAGAGGAGACCAGGCAGGGAGGGGTCGGGGACACCGAGGCGGGCAGGGGTCTCTGAGGAGGTGACCCGCCTCCAGGACCTGGCAGCGTGCGCTCATGCACACACGTGTATACGAGGGTGTGAGTGTGTGCCCACGTGTGTGTACAGTTGGCCCCTGGACGACACGGGTTTGGGCTGCACGGGCACTCACACGAGGGCTTTCTCCCACCTCTGCCCCCCCACAGCAAGACCAACCCTCTTCCTCCTCAGCTGTGCGGCGTGAGGATGACGAGGACGAAGGCCTTTGTCATCATCCACTCCGTGCACAGCAGATATGTTTTCCTTGTGACTGCTTAACATTTTATTTCCCCCATTCGCTTAATTGTAAGAACACTGGACACCACACACGCAACAGACAACAGGGGTTGCCTTTTTGTTTGTTGTTTTTTTTTTTGAGTCAGAGTCTCACTCTGTTGCCTGGGCTATACTGCCGTGGTGTCAGCCTTGCTCACAGCAACCTCCAACTCCTGGGCTCAAGCGATCCTCCTGCCTCAGCCTCCCAAGTAGCTGGGACTACAGACATAGGCCACCACGCCCGGCTCATTTTTTTCTATATATTTTTAGCTGTCCAATTAATTCCTTTCTATTTATACTAGAGACGGGGTCTCGCTCTTGCTCAGGCTGGTCTCGAACTCCTGACCTTGAGCAATCCGCCCACCTCCGCCTCCCAGAGTCCTGGGATTACAGGCGTGAGCCGCCCAGCTGCCTGTTTTGTTCCGGAGCGTCTCACTCTGTGGCGGGGCTGGAGTGCGGGGGCGTCATCCCAGCCCCCAGCTCCGCCCGCCTCCGCCTCCGGGAGCGCTGGGCCCTCAACGGGCCGTTTACGCTCAAGGCTTCCGGTCTAAAGTCCTCTATTAGTTACGTTTTGGGGGAGTCAGAAGTTACACTTGGATTTTGGACCGTGTGGTGTTGGCTCCCCAACTCCGGAGTCGTTCAACGGCCAACTGTACTGCAGGTGTGTGTGCACGTGTGGATGTGGGCACATGCGAGCGCACACGTGTGGGTCTGAGCACACAGTAGGTACACGTGTGTACACATGTACCTGCATGTCTGCGTATACGCGTGTGGGTAGAAAGGCGCTCACAGCACAGCCTGAGACGCCGTCCTGGGAAAGGCCTGGGTAGGAGGCCGGCCCCCGCTGCCCCTGGGAACCCAGACTCCAGGTGCGCGGCCTGTGCACACGCTGTGGCTTGCCCTGGCGCCGGCCTTGCCCTCGGGGTCTGGGTGTGGACCGTGCCAGGCAGAGGCGCCGCGTGAGCAGACCCTGCCGGTCTCCGCCAGCGCTGCTGGTAGACGCCGCGCACGCCACGCATGCGGAGTGACGCAGGACGCGGCTTCCCGGGCAGGACCTGGAAGCTCCCGCGCCCCTCCCGATCTCCCCGTGCCTTTCCCTGGGACTGCGCCGGTCCCGTCCCTCCTGGCGTAAGTGGTGGGTGTCCAAACAAAGACGGCGCGGAGGCCCTGGGCGGACCCTCGCTCCCTGCACGGCCGGACGCACGGGAGGACGCCTCCGCCCCACCCCCGCCGGGGTCTCACCTGGGCTGGAGAAGAGCGGCCGGGCCAGGTCCTGCGGGTAGTGGGACCCGGCAAACACGCCCGGGGCGGGCGGCCTGCCAAACAGGTCCAGCTTCGCGCCCACCTCCAGCTTGTGCGGGTCCAGCGGCACCTGCAGGGAGCACACAGCTGCCGGGAGGCCGGGACACGGCGCGACCGGTGTAACGCGCTGCAACGCGGACCAGCCAGACGGGCCGGCAAGCGGCTCCACCGCGTTAGGTCTTGCAGCCTGGGGCACGCTTTCTACGTAAAGCACGTAAAGCACGTAAAGCACGCCTCCCTTTGGACGTACTTCACTGAAAATGCCTTGTTTGTATGTAGATTCTCAGAAGTTGAGCTGAGGATGTGCTGACGTGCCTGCATTGTTCCAAACATGCCTAAGGGTTTTCCTGCCACCACAGCTAGCCTCAGGGTCAGTTTTAAAAGTTAAATTTGTTGAGATTTAAACAAAACTCGCACCTGCCTCCGACTCGCACCTGCCTCCGACTCGCACCTGCCCGCGCCAGGCGCTGCCGCCACACAGGCCGCGGCCACCACGCAGCACGGCAGAGGGCTCGGAGCCGGGGGCAGCGCAGGGAGCCTGGTGCCCCCCGCCCTGCCGCCAAACAGCGCTGGGGCCTGTCCCGCTCCGTCAGGGCACTCTCAGCTCACGTGCGCCCCGAGCTCCCAGGGTGCAGCCAGGTGTCCCTGGAGGCCACGTGCGCCACCTCCCACCGGCTCCGGAACGCCCGCGTCCCGCTGCGTCCCCACCCAACACGGTCCCTCGTCACAGATCCCTCCGCTGTGTCCCCACCCAACACGGTCCCTCGTCACAGATCCCTCCGCTGTATCCCCCCACCCAACACGGTCCCTCGTCACAGATCCCTCCGCTGTGTCCCTCCGCTGTGTCCCCCCACCCAACACGGTCCCTCGTCACAGATCCCTCCGCTGTGTCCCCCCACCCAACACGGTCCCTCGTCACAGATCCCTCCGCTGTGTCCCCCCACCCAACACGGTCCCTCATCACAGATCCCTCCGCTGGCGTCTCCCGCAAAGCGCATGTAGGACATGGTGATTCTCAGGAACCACCACGGAGGTGACGCATGTCACCTGGGGCAGTGCTGGGGACGGCAGGGGCGCAGGGCCCCCTGGGGCTGCCTCTTCCTAGGCCCACCCCCCCTCGGAGCATATCAGCTCTGTGAGCGCCGCTGGTATACTCAGGTCGCTGCTGAGCACCCAGGCACACAGCAGGCGCTCAATAATGTGAGGCAGAGGTAGGCAGAGGGCCCCCTGTGGGTGGAGCCAGCAGGTCCCCTGAGCTCCCCCAGGCACAGGGACGGTCCTTCCAGGGAAGGGCCCCCGACCTCCTCGGAGTGACAGTTCGGCAACAGGCAGGCAGCCAACGCCTGTGGGTCAGACACGTGAGCACACGCGTGTGAACACGCACAGGCTTGCATGGCGCACCCCCCCCCTCATCCTACTGCAGGCTAGAGAGAGACGGGGCTTCCACACGCGCCCCTTGCTGCAATCCCAGACGCCCACGGGGACGCCAGGGGTCAAGGACGCCCTGGGACCCCGGCCAGCTCACCTGGGGCGTCCTCACCTTTATCTTCTGCTGATGGTGGTAGATCTGCCACGCGATCTGCACGTGCACGGCGCACCACTTCCCTGGTTTCTGCGAGGGGACCGAGATGCGGCTCAGCAGCGGCTGGGGGGCAGGGCTCTCCTCCCACCCCCCTGCCCCTCCCAGGCTGCGCCCCGGGGCCACCAGTCCCCCTCCCCAAGGACGTGCGCACTCACCCTGACCACCGCCCGGTACGGGTCAGAGACCTGTGGCGACAGGGGAGGAGTGTCAGGTCCGGGCTCTGCAGGGGGCTGAGTCCCGGGGGTGCGGGGGCCACGGCACCCCTGCTGCCCGTGTGGGCAGGGCTGGGCCAGGACGTCCCCCCGGGGCGGGGGGTGGACACCGCCAACACCTACCCCGGGGGCTTTCTGCAGGAGGGCGTGGACGGCACCTGCCCGGCCTGTTACCTCCAGAGGGTTTGCAGTCTGTGGGCAGAGTAGAGAGTTTGCACGTGTGTGAGACCCCACAGCCGGGGGTCCTGGCCTGCGCCTGCCCTGCCTACCACCCGGGGTCCTGGCTTCCTGCAGAAACCACCACACCCTGTGTCCAGCAGCCCCCACAAAGGTGGGAAGGGGCTCTGGACACCGACGTGTCGGAGGGGGGCTGCCCTGGGAGGAAGGGGAGGCGCAGGGAGAACAGACGGGCTGAGGGAGACGGGCCTGTGCTCCCCGCCTGGGGGCTCCATGAAGGGGTGACGGCGACAGGGACTGGCGTGGGCAGCTTTCCTGCCAGCAACCTGGCCCTTCCGGCTCCTTCCCTCTGGGCCAGAGCAGTGGACGCCATGCCCAGTGGTCACCCTTGTGGGAATGTCCCTCTAAGTGCTGTCCTGCCTGGGAGCGGCCTGCAGGGGGCTTGGCCAGGATAGACGCCCCCCCCCCCCCAGCCCCTGCCTGACTCGGGGCCTCCATGTCCCGGCTGCTGGAGCCCGGGGAGTCCAGGTCTGGGGGGCCCTCTCCCCATGCACCCCTCTTGAGGCAGGCTCTGAGTCCTCGAGACCCTGTGGGCCTGTCCCGCCTGGATGGTACGTGGGTGGTGCCAGGGTGAGGGCACGGGGCAGCGAGTGGCAGTTGTGGGGGTGTCCTGTGAGGTCGGGGCTGGCTGGGACCTGCAGTGGCCCAGGGCCTGAAGGTGAGGAGGTGACTTTGAGGCAGACGCCTGTCCCTGTGCCCCTCGCACGGCTGTGGCGGGAGACAGGGATGCACACGCCGGCTGTCCTGGGGAAGGCGCTGTGGCACAGCCTCCTGCCATGCACTCTTCTCTGCCTGCTGCCACCCCTCCCAGGGGCGCTTCTGGTCCAGAACCCCCGATACCCACGCCTGGCAGGGCCCGAGTTGGGACAGGGCTGGGTGGGGCAGTCTTGTGGCCCCCTCCCCACCCGGAACCCCACCTGGAACCCCACCCGCCGCTGTGCCCGCCCCACCTGCCGGGAGCAGCCGGTACCTTGGGCTGAAAAGCACCCTGCAGGGACCCAAAGGGGCCGGGGTGCGGAAGCAGGGCAGGCAGTCCCGGGATGGCGGGAGGGAAGGGCGGGAAGAACTGCAAGAGAAGGGAGAGGCTGCAGGGCCCCCACCTGTTCCCCCTCTGCACCCAGGGCCTGCCCCCATGCGGCAGGGAATGATGCCCTGTCCGGGCGCGAGGCCGCGGCGGCAGGCGCCCGGGGACACTCACACTCACGTTGGAATGTCGGAAGTAGGAGCTGTCCAGCTTGGGAGTGTACTTGTCAAACTGGAAGGGAAAGGGCGGGGGTGAGGCCCCCCAGCACACACCCGTCGCCCTCCTGGGGGGCCCAGCACCCGCCCACCCGGCTGGGCCTCCTGAGGCAGTGGCAGCCGCCCCCAGGCTCAAGCTCTCGGCCTCTCAGCCCTGCACGCAGTCCGGCGGGGCCAATGCAGACCAGGGAGCCCCTCCCTGGTGGGTCTGCTTGCCCAGAAGGGCCGTGGCTGGGGAGGGGCGTGAAGCCCTGGTTGCAGGACACGCCCTGCTACTGACAGGCTTGCCCGGTGTCACCAAAGAGCTCTGGCAGGAGCCAGGAAACCCGGCCACACGGCAGCTGCCTGGGGAGACGCAGCCTTGGGCCAGGGAATATGCCTGGGCCGAGTCTCGGGACCTGGGCCCTAAGTCCCGTCTGGGCCTCCAGACCTGGTGCTAGGGGCCCATCGTGGGTACAACTAGCTCCACGGATGTGTCACCCACATGTGGACACAGGATACCTGCCCAGGCCCAGGAGGGGGACCTCGGCGTGACTCAGGGGAGACCAGAGGGCGACTGGGGCACGGCCCCCACCATCCAGACAGACAGATGCTGCCGGCCCCACCGCCCGTGTGCGTGCCAGCGTGTGTCTGCGTGTGCCTGCCGCGTGTCCCCGCCCGGCCCGCCCCCCGCCCTTCGCCCCTGCCAGCACGCGGGCCTACGCACCGGCGGGGGTGCGGCGGGCGGCGTGAGCGGCGTCGGGGGCAGCCCCGCGGGGAAGGGGGCGAATGTGTGTTGGTGCTGGTGTGTGTGCTGGTGTGTGTGTTGGTGTGTGTGCTGGTGCTGATGGAACTCCGCCCGCAGCAGAGCCCCCGGGCCCAGGGAGGCGCCAGGCCGCTCGGCGCTCTGCACCAGAAACCGCGTGTTCAGCTCTTGCCTGAGCAGCTCGCGATCTACAAGAGAAAAAGAGAGAGAGACAGAGAGGCACGTCGGCCGCGGGCTCCCGGCGGGGCGAGGCGGATAGTCACCTGGCACTCCCGGTTTCGGCAGGCCAAGCCGTGGTGGCCGCTCGCTAGGTGCGGGCCCAGGGGTGGAGGTAAGAGAGGGGCCTGTGACCAAGTACCAATCAGAATCCCCGAATGAGGCTGGCAATACATGATTGGCTGGCTGAATGAGATCAACAGGCTGGCATCTGGAGGGAGAGAGAACAGGGTGAGCCTGCGGCGCGCCCGCCCTCACCCCGCAGGGCGCGGGGCCGAGCTGGGAGGGCTCCAGAGGCGCCACCCTGGGGAGCCTGTGTCCAGCCCCCCAGACCACTGTCCTGGTCCCCACCCTGGGCAGGGCCGACTCAGAACCTTGGACGGCAGCGGGAGCGAGGGAGAATCCTCCTGCTCGGGCCACTCAGACCCGGCCCCAGCGGAAGCTCCGGGAGGGAGAGGTGGGGGGTGGAGATCTGCTCACTTTGGACCCCCGGCTCCCCCATACCCCACCAGGTGCAGCCCTGACACAGGAGGGCAGGGGAGGACAGTCCTCCCGCCACAGCAACTCTGCAGGTGCGCACAAGACCACGTCTGTCTGTGCACATGCGCACGTGTGTCCTGCATGCGCGCCCAGGTGCATGCCCATGGCCTGCCTGGGACTGCTGGGGAAAGGCCGCCAGGTGGGGGCCTGGGCCGAGCCCCGCCGAATGCCCCTCCCTGGGGGCTGCGTCCCGCACCTGCCCACCCTGCCCAGGTGAGACCAGGCTGAGGGCACCTACCAGCAGGGTGTCCTGGGATGCCCAGGCTGCCGGCGGGCAGCGCCGGGGGCGGGGGCAGTGTCGCGGGGGCAGCGAACATGGCTGCTGCGTGGTGCTGGTGCTGCGCCTGGGACCGGAGCGCCAGGTGTGAGGTAGACAGGTGGGGGCCCGGCCCGTGCGGCGACAGCGACACGTGCTTTGCCAGGCCGAGGGCGGCACCGCTGCCCGCGCTGCTGCTCCTGCTGCGGGACACGGGGCTCAGCGCCCGCCCGCGCCCTCCCTGCGACCCCCAGCCCCGGGGAACGCCCACCCGAGGCCCGCAGGCCCCGACCCTCACCGAGGCCCTCACCTGAGGCCGTGCAGACCCCGCCCCTCACTCAGGCCCTCAGGCCCCGCCCCCAGCCGAGGCCCGCACCTGAGGCCGTGCAGGCTGTGGGGCGCCGCTGGGCCGGGGCCGAGGCCCGCGAAGGCGCCCAGGGACGCAGGCACGTGTGTCGGGAACGCGCCGCGGGGATGGGGGGGCGCGGGCGGCGGCTGCGGAGTGTGGCGGGGCGGGGCGGGGGCCTCCTTCTTCACCAGGGGGCTGGCACGGGCCGGCGGGGGCCCAGTGCAGGGCGCAGCGAGGGGCGCGGGGCTGGCGGGCGGGAAGCACCCGGTGCTGAGCTCGCGGCTGCGCTCCAGGCCCGACACCTTGGGCACCGCCCCGGCCTTGGCCTCCGGCTTCTCGCGCCGCGCGGGGCCTGCGGGGAGAGCGGCAGCTGCGACCCAGCCTGCGACCCAGCCCTGGCGCCCCGGGGGCCCTGCCCCACCGCCAGGAGGGCAGCTGACGCTCCAGAGCCCTCAGGGGCAGGTAAATCCCGCGGTGGGGGCTGTCATGACCCCACTTTACAGACAAAACCGAGGTTCTCCAAGGACTTGGCCCAAGAGGGGACCTGGGTTGGAACCCAGGAACTCGGTGACTTCCCACCTGTATCTTCCTGTGCCGCCCACTCCCTGCCCGCACCCGCCCACCCTCCACCCTGCGCAGGCCCAGAGCTCATGTCTTGGCTGCCGCACTGAGCACGCAGGTGACCACCTGCCCCTTTCAGAACCCGGGGTGGGGAGTGACCACTCCCAGGAACCTGGGCAAGGGCACCAGGCAGCTTGGTGGGGAAGCTGCTCCCCCACTGCACTGACCTGCCACCCGGCCGCCCCCACCCACTCTCCCCACCCAGGGTGGATGGACCCTCCCCAAGACGGCTCCCCCTACTGCACCCCCAAATACTCCTGCTGAGGCCGTGCCCAGCAGGGTCTCAGACCTTCCCCAGGGCTGGGCGGAGGGCGGTGTCCACCCTGGAGGACCTGAGCTGACCCCTGCCGCCTCCGGTTCTGCCCGAGCAGGTCCAGTTTCCAGAGCGCAACACGCTCCTGCCTCCTCCAGGGGCCGGGACAGCTGAGCCCACAGCCACCCTCAGGGCCCCTGGGGACGTCTCCTCCTACCACAGCCCTGCGCCCCCGAGGACAGGTGTGAGCAAGGAGCCCGCTGGCCTCCACTGGGGTGTCCCAGGGGCCCTGCCTCTACCCAACCTCCCCGGCGCTCCTCTCTCCACCCTCTCCCCTGCCCCTTGCCAACCCAGAGCAACGTGGGGATGGAGGGAGGCAGGCCTGGCCGTGCACACAGGATGTGGCCAGCTGGCCGACACCCGGCAGCGTGCACCCTGCAGAGGGGTCCCCACTAGGGGCGTGCAGACCGGTCCCCAGCCCTGGGCGGGCTCCACCTGCAGCGCCAGCTGCCCCTCTCCTGCCGGGACTGCCCAGCGCCCGCCCCGCCCTGACACCACGCAGCCCGGAGCCGCTCTGCCGCGATGCTCGGGCGTGAGGCGTGTATAGGCCCAGCCGGCCTGCCGCACTGGGAGTGTCGCCGCCGGCATCCACCTGTGCTTGGGGCAAGGCTGGTCCTGTCAAGTCACATCCAGGTGGAGCCTTCCCGGCAACAGGGCTGTGCCGGCTGGCAGCACCTGGCGGGGTAGGGAGCAGAGACCCCCGGGACTGCTCTGAATCAGCCCCTGACGGAGACGCTGCGGCCCAGGCCTTGTTGTGGGAGTTCCTGGAGCCCCCACTGCTTTGCCCAGCACAGTGGGCGGAGGGGGGTGCCCTCTCTCGGCTGGCAAGCTCAGGTTAAAAAACCCTGTCCCAGCCGGGCGCGGTGGCTCACGCCTGTAATCCTAGCACTCTGGGAGGCCGAGGCGGGCGGATTGCTCGAGGTCAGGAGTTCAAAACCAGCCTGAGCAAGAGCAAGACCCCGTCTCTACTATAAATAGAAAGAAATTAATTGGCCAACTAATATATATAGAAAATTAGCCGGGCACGGTGGCGCATGCCTGTAGTCCCAGCTACTCGGGAGGCTGAGGCAGGAGGATCGCTTGAGCCCAGGAGTTTGAGGTTGCTGTGAGCTAGGCTGACGCCACGGCACTCACTCTAGCCTGGTCAACAAGCGAGACTCAGTCTCGAAAAAAAAAAAACAAACAAACAAAACCCTGTCCTGGCCTGGGGGCAGGTCTGGGGGTTAGGGAAATGCCACCTACCACTCTGGACGCCAGCCGGGTACGCTTACCTTTATCAGCCGCAGGGGCAAAGAGCTTGTCGGAGCCCACTGATGCCTGCAGAGAGAGGAGGGGTCAGAGGGGGGTCTGGGGTGAGCCTGCTCCGAGAGCCCCCACACCCACAGACAGGTGTGAGTTCCTGCCTGTGTGGAGCCCGCCCGGCCTGGCGGCACACGCCTCGGCCCACCCGCTCACGCCCACACCCGGGCTCTGGGTACTTCCTCGGGAGAGAGAACCGTGGTGCCGTGTGGCTCCTGCCGGTGTGGCCTGGGGACCAACAAACACCAGGAGCCCGGGGGCCCCGCTGGACCTCGGCCCCGCAGGCGGAGGCAAACAACGGGAAGAGCCGGGGACAGGCCTCGTGCCCCAGGTTGGTGAGGCGCAGGCGCCTGAGGGAAGGTGGAGGCCAAACGCTGAGCAACCCGGGTTGGAGACGCCCACGCCCACGGCTGCGGGACCGTTCTCCGTGCCAGGGGTGGCCCCGTCGAGAGTGGCAGGCCACGTGACCTCCCCGGGGGTGGCCAAGCCCCCTTCTCGTCTCCTGGACACACGCCCACGTGTGCACACAGGAGCGTGAGGGGCACCGCGGGTGGCCGGGGTGAGAACTGCCCCCGATGGCCGGCCCGGTGCTCTGGAGGGCTCAGCCGCTGCTTCCCGGAGCTCGACCCTAGAACGTTCGTCATTTCCCTGCGTTGGGTCACCGAGTTCCCGACCGAGCGTTCCTGCAGAAGTCACCATCGAGCCCCCGCCCAGGCTGGTGCTGTTGGGGGTGACAGGCCGAGCCCTCACGGTGGGGTCGCTGGCCTCACGACGCAGTGAGAAGGCCCTGCCAGAGCCTGACCCGGCCCGCGCGTGGGCGTGGTCTGACGGAGCAGCCCGGCCCAGACACGATTCACACGCATGCTCACTGTCCCCTCCACCCGGCGGTTCAGGATCTGCAGGGACGCGGCCGTCGCCACGCTGAGCTGCAGATCGTTGTCATCACCCCAGGAGAGACCCCGACCCCCTGGCTGTCGCCCCAACCCGCTGTCCCTGAACTCTCGTCCTGGGCGGCTCTCGAGGGTGGGGGCTTTCTGGGTGGGTGCATGGTTGCGGCCTGTGGAAACGCACACGTGAAACGGGCACATTTCACCGTGAGCGGAGCAGATCGCACGAGGGGAAGTCGATGGGGCGGGCGGACGGACGGGGACCCGCAGCGCAGAGCCCAGGACCCAGAGCAGACCTGACACGCGGGCCCAGGCGGCTGTCGCGTGGGGTCGCCTGGGGTCCAGGGTCTCCTGCTTGGGGAAGGGCAGAGCACGAGGTCCGCTTCATTCCCTGCATCCAATAACCCAGACTGATCGCAGGACAAACGTGAAAACCAGATCCACAACCAGACACGGCCTCCCGTGACCCTGGTTCTGGCAGCACCAGCTTCTGAGAACGATGAGGACGGTGACGAGTGTGAGCTCCACGCCAGGTGTGAAGCCAGGGCCTGCCCCCAGCCCCAGGGGCCAGCAGCCACCTACAATGCCCCACCTGCCAGGGCCCCACCAAGGTCCAGGCGGGCCCTGGTACCACCCGCCTGGGCCCGCATGACGCCCAGCGCCTGTTTTCGTAGTGTTGCCTGGGCTGGTTTTAGCTCTTAGAGACTGTCTTTCAAAACCAAACCAGAACAAGTCAGCCCCCAACTTAAAACATTCCAGAGCCTTACCACGGCCCTGGACCTCAGTCTCAACTTGTCCCCGCCCAGGGCCCTGCGCCCTCTCTGCCCCACCCCCTCTGGGCGGTCTCACAAGGGCTGGCTCCAGCCTCCCCGGTGGCCTTCCTGGACCCCGATGGAGGGTGCCACCACGTCACCAGCACCCACTGAGTGGCCTTCTCCGTGGGCTCCCAGGTCTGAGAGGTGCCCACCGTCAGCGGGCCTGCGGGCGGCCCCTCTGCAGCTGGGCTGCAGGCGCCGGCATGCAGGGCCTGGCCCCGGGGAGCTGAGCAGGTGACAGCACCTCCCTCCCAGGGGAGGCACCCTGAGGTCTTCGTGACCAGCCACAGGGCACAGAGTAAACAGCACAGATAGCTTCGGAGCACCCGCCCACCAGCACCACCAGGGGACGCGGGAGGAGTGAGCGCACAGGCGGGCTCGGCTGCCTCCATGACCTGCCAGGAGGGGGGGTGGGAATCAGGTAGCTGCTGGGTCCCCCGGGTGAGCACAGAAAGGCGTACAGCCAACCCCAACAGCGGCCCAGAGGCGCAGGCCTGGCCTCTGAGGTGACCCACAGCAGGTTGGGGGGGATACACTAGGAGCTTAGTGGCACATCTCACATGGCACAGTGTGGCCTGGGCCCCCCACCCTGGCTGGACACCAGCTCTGCTGACATGGTGGTGCGACCACACTGCACACTCCCCCCACCAGGGCAGAGGACTGAGGAGAGGACTTAGAAAGGTCTGCTCCAGAGGGGGCCTGTGGGGACAGGGCCCAGGGAAACCACCAGCCCCAAGCTCCGAACCCCACCCACACCCCACCTGGGTGACCAAACGCTGGGGGCTGCGGTTGGAGCACCGGCCCCAGGGCCACGAGGTGGCGCCCCAGGGACCGGCCCAGTGGGGGGTGGGGGGCTGCAGGACAGGGGCCCCTAGGGCCCCCGAATGTGCACACCTGCCCTCGCAGGGGAGTCTGCTCAGGAAGTTGGGGGTGGGCCCAGGAACCCTTGTACCTGCAGGGTCCTGAGCACACAGCTGGCCGGCTTCTGCCTCACAGGAAGGCCAAGCAAGGACACCTGGCCAGGTGTGTCCACGCCCACCCAGGAAGGCTGTGAGTAGACCTGGAACTTTTAGGGGACTGTGGCCCAGGTTTCAGCCCCTTCCTAGAGATGCACAGAGACCCCCTCCTGGGACCCACGTCCACTCCAGGACCCTTAGCTTCTCTTCTTCAACCAGGCTTCCAGACTGGCCTGCGGACCTGCGCGGGTGGGCGGCCCCAGAGCGGCCCCTAGACCTGCGCTAACAACTTCCCGCGCATTATCTGCCCGGAGGTGACCCAGGCGCCGCCTCCAGTCCTGGCGCTGAGCCAGTGTGGGGGCGGAAGGAAGGGGGTCACTTCGGGCCAAGTCCCGGGCCCAGGCTCGGTCCGGCCGAGGGGCTAGCCCCGCAGGGAGCGGGTCAGCAGCAGCACGGACTCCCTGAGGCGCACGACCCCGGCCAAGCCGCGGGCGGAGGTCGAGGCGTGCTTTGTCTGTGAGGCCCCGACCCGCAGGGCAGCCTCGGCCCAGACACGCGGCGTAGCCTCAGCCAGCCGCGCCCCGCCCCAGACAAAGAACTCCAACTCCGAGCAGGTGAGCGTCGCGCAGGGAACCGGGTGGCCGATTCCGCGCCAGGACGCAGACAAAGGCGCGCGCCCCCCACGACGCCCGGCCCCGCCCCCACCACCGGCCCCCAGTGCCCTGGCGGGGGCCCAGGACCCTCAGGCGGGCTGCGTCCCCGCCCGCCGCCACGTGCGTCCCGGGGGGGAGGCAGTCACCGCGCGCTCGGCTCCCGGGAGACGAGGTGGGGAGAAGGCGCGGGCCTGTCCCGCGTCCCGCTCCTCTAGGGGGGCAGTTGCTGTTCCGAACCCGGCCCTCCAAAGTCGCGACTTCCTCTCCGGAGCCCGAAGCGCCCACTCACCTCGCGGGCGCCGCAGATCCAGCGAGCTCCGCAGGCGACGGCCACTAGTCCCGCGGCCTGAGCCGGGGCCCGGCTGCATGGACGCGGGCACGGGCCGGCCCGTCCAGGCGATCCCTCTCCCGGCGCGCCCCACTTAGCCAGAGACCGGGCCGGGGACGCGCGGGGCGCGCATGTCCGCCGCGCCGACTCGGCGCGCTCGGGCGGCTCTCGGGCGCCCTGGCAGAGGGGGCGCCCGGGCGCCGTCGGGCGCGGGGGGCCGGAGGCGCTGGCGCTCGGACGGGCGCGGCTGGGCGCACAGCTGGCGCGCGCGGGCAGCGGGCGGCGCGCGGCGGCGGGGCGGGGGCGGGGCCCGGCAGGCCCGACTAATCCAGCCCCGAGGCGCGGATCTGCCCGCGCCCGGCCGCCGGCTCTGGGTCCGAGCGGGACGCAGGGTCTGGGAGCGCAGCGCCCGCCGCCCCGAGCGCTTTATGGGCGCGACTCCTCTGACCCGCGCAGCAACAAGTTAGGGACAACAGCCACCGCACCTCCAGAAGGGAAAACTGAAAAAGTGAGGTCAGTGCCGCAGTCGAGAAGCTAGGACTTGGAGGACGGAGCCCGCACAGAGCTGTCGGAGCCCCGGGCCCGCAGCAAGCCTCACCTGGCCCGGTTTCTCCATCTGCGAAAAGGGGATACAGAGTCGGAGCCGGCTCCAAGCAGCTGCTGCAGGTGCAGACGGCCGCACAGCGCGCCGACCGGGCCCTTGGCGGTTTACGCACGCGGCGGCCGGCACACGGAGCGCCTGGCTGCCCCGTGGGGGTGCGGGCTTGAACCGGGATCCAGCACGAACCACGGCCCGCGCGCACCACACCGACCCAGGCACCGGCGGGACCCTCCATCGCTGCGAGCACAGAGGCGGAAAACCAGGACACCGACAGCGCGAGTGGGTCGCGATGCGTGCCAGAGAGCCGGGTAAGAGGGGAGCGGCGCGGCTCCGACCCGCAGTCAGGAAGTTTAAGGATGGGCGCCCCTCCAAGTTGCACCGGAGGACACACCGGGCCAGCTCTGGTCCAGGGAAGCCTCAGCCCTGGTTCTGGGCCTGAGCTTGCGGGTAGGACGTGCTCCTATTTCTGGGCTTGAGAGACTGGCCCCGGCTGGGCACATCAGGGGCCAGTCCATTCCGTGTGGGGCGCACAGCCATTCCCAAGACCACGGGGAGCAGCTCCAAGATGTGCCTTGGGGACCCACGCAGGCTGGGCCAGCACGTTTCTTTTCAAAAGACGACCGAATGAAACACTGGGGAACGTTAGCCTCAAACACGCGCGACGGTGCAGAAGAATTCGCCACAAAGCTGCCCCTAGGTGGGGAATGTGAGCCTCCCCCAACCATTTAGCAAACACAACCGTCATTCCCCAGTCCTGCTTCCTGCCACGCGGCAGGGT